TTGATAAAGACATTGAAACGGACATCTATACCAACACCAGTAATGTTGGGCTTGGCACCATCCTCATTCAATAGCAGAATGGACAAGAAAGAGTTATTACATACGCACACCACACTGTATCGAACGCTGAGTATAATTACTCAGCTACAGAGAAGGAAAGCTGGCAGTTATATGGGCCATCAGTAAGTTCCATCCATATCAATACGGCAGACCTTTTAGGGCGATCAGCGACCATCACTCATTGTGTTGGCTGGCAAATCTAAAGGTCTTTCAGGATGACTTGCTAGATGGAGCCTACGTCTGCAGGAATACGACATCACCGTTGTGTACGAATTCAGCCTTTAGCACAATGACGCAGATTGCCTGTCACATGGACCAGTTGAGCATTCATCCTCTGAACATGAAGATTTCCCATTTCTTGGAACTCTCAACGCGTCCGATATGGCCAGTCATCAGCGATCGGATCCAGAGCTGCTGCTGCTTATCCACTACTTTGAGGGTCAGCAAGCAAAGGGACCATGAGTTTTCGTCCGGGGGCTATATTTCTATGTTCTCCAGAATGGTGTCCCCTACGAGCGAAACTTCGAACACAGTGGTGAGACGTTTGTTTCTCGTACTATCGTCACTGCGAGCGGAAATATTATAAGCATGTCACGATGCCCCTTTAGCTGGACATTTGGATGTTAGCCGACTTTACCAGAATCCGCCACAGGTATTATTGGCCGAAGTTAATGAATTCTGTACAGCACTATGTGAAGTTGTGCCGAGAGTGTCAAAGGCGCTAAGTACCTCCTTTAAACCCAGCAGGTCCGTTGAAACCAATAGAGCCACCAAAAGTACCATTTGAGCAAGTGGGAATGGATTTACTTGGACCATTCTTTGTCTCATCATTTTTGGAAAACGGTGCATTATTGTAGCGACAGACTACATGAACCGCTATGCTGAGACGTCGTCCCTCATTAAAGGAACTGCGAATGAAGTGGCGTAGTTCTTCGTCAGCCAGATAGTGCTACGGCATGGCACTCCTTAGGTTGTCATAACCGACAAAGGGACAGCATATACCGCCCTTGTGATGCAGTCTATCATGAAACTCACGCATATCAACCATACAAGAAGTACAGCTTACTATCCGCAAACAAACAACTTAACTAAAAGGCTCAATAGAAAGCTGGCTGAAATGCTCGCCATGTATGTGGATGTCGAACATCGTTCATGGAACAGCATTTTACGGTATGCTACCTTTGCGCATAACACCGCTGTACAGGAGACGACGCACTTCCTGTCATTCCAGCTCGTTTATGGTAGAACAGTAACAACGACTTTAGACGCTATGTTACCTGTCAGCAATGTGAACGAAGTTAATGCTGATATAAATGAATACATCGAGAGAGCAGAAGGGGCCCGATAGTTGGACAGGCACCGCATAATTCAACAGCAGGCCGTTGACTCAGATCACTATAACCTGAGCGAAGAGATGTCTAGTACGATCCCGGAGACAAAGTGTGGGTATGGACACCTGTACGTGTATGTGGTCATTCCGAAAAGCTCATGCGGCACTACTTCGGCCCTTACAGGGTACTTCGGTGGTTGAGCATCTTAAACTAAGAGTTCATCCCTGGCAGCCAAGGGGGCTCGACTCGACGAACAAATCACCCAGGTATCGTACACATAGTACGCATGAAAACCTACTACAAAAAGCAATGAAGATCACTGATACACGTGCTCAACCATCAAGTCAAGCCCTGCATTTTAAAACTTTCGGCCCTCTCAGCACATCGGGACTATGCGTTTTAGGCATGGGATTAATGCCACAAGTTGCTCATCATCCGCCTCCGACACACCCTGCTTCCTGCATTTGTAAATGCCGGCAAACAAATAACAAGCAAAGCGCGCATTGCATCAGCAATCTGCGCATGCCACCACACCACGTGCTAAAAGAAGACTAATGGCTTGTGGTGTGACCAGTTCGCGGCTGCGTGAGAGAAGAGGTCGAAAAGGTTCGTGGGGCTAGCGAGAAACATTTTGTGTGTAAGGTTGTCTTCCTAAGTTCTCGGGCAAAGTTCGCCCTGAATAAATATTCTTTACCAAGAGGCGTTCGATTTGTTGGTAACAATGTAATCTATTCAAAACCTCGGTTATACCACACAGTTTTATGCCAATCCCACATCTTGCGACTTTCCGATTCCGTGTGAAATAAAGAAACGCATATTTACTTGATTCGAATGTTGACCAAATACTCACAAGGGCAAGATATGATCTTTAGGTTGATCATTAAAAACGTAGAGATTGAGACAGGATGTCTTCTTAGAATGGAAATTTTAGGCTTGTGCGAATAGTGAATTTTATAAACCTAGAGATTGAGACAGGATGTCTTCTTAGAATGGCAATTTTAGGCTTGTGTGAATAGTGAATTTTCAGTTCTAAAAGAATTCAAAATGAGTAGTGTGGTTGAAGAATTTTGAATTGAATTCGAATGGTATATATATATATATATATATATATATATATATATATATATATATATATATATAGCATACTATAAAGCTAAAAAAGCATATCTGTTATGTCCCAGCTAACCTGAATAATATTAACAAAAAATTGAAACAAGGCCTGTTCAAATGCCATTTTTTTGCATTAAAGAAAGCAGAAACAACAACTTCAAATAGTAGCAGGATTTTACTTTTGCTAGGATGCAAGTGATAGCCTTAAAATATGTAACTTCTTAAAGTGCACTAAAATGCACTTGGAGCATATAAGTCGGTATAACAAGATTCTAAACTTAGAGTCGATGTGAGGGTAATATCCTCATTTAACTTTGAAGTAGGGCTTTGCAGCATTGCTGATCTTTCTTGGATATGTGTTTTCACGGCTCAGCTCTGCTTCGCTGCAATGAAATAACTTTTACAATACAAAAAGGTTACATGCGTATTATACACGCATGTAACCTTTTTAGCTGTAACTAATCTGCGTAATAGGGCAAGCCTACAAATACTAGAACAGCGCAGGATAATATCCAGATTAAAATTCGTCTATCAACTTGATCACGGGGACTTTAAATTATCACGGGAACGATACCTTCAGCAGCCTTCTAAACTTTCAGCTAGGACAAACCACAACAAAACGTTTAGGCAGCCACCCAGCCACATTAATGCCCACAAGTTCGCTCTCTTTCCTCGCGCAATTTTTCATTGGAACGCATTACCTGCGGAAGTAGTGAATGCTGCCTCGACGGCTTCATTCACTCAACAGATAGAAAAGATTAATTTCACCATATAAGTGATGTATGCTGAAAATAGTGTCATTTGAGTGCAATTCATCCGGCTACAAATGTTGAAAATATTCTTAGTTGTGCGCAGTTCTGTTGAACAGCGAGAAAATATATTTGACTTTTCTGTACTTGATAGTTATGTATTCTTTCATTTATGCCCTGTACTTCAGTGTATTACTATTTATTGCTTGAATGTATTGTTTGTATCCTACTCCTGCATGGGCCCGGGTAGGGCCTGCAGTATCTGTAAATAAAAATAAATAAAAAACACCTGGAAAGGTGCTTTCACGGCTCAGCATTCCTCTACTGCAGTGAAACAACCTTTCCTAGGTGTCACATGCGGATTAGTATGCATCTATTCGTTCGTTTCGAATAATTCGAAAATTTCAACAAGCTAAATTTGATTCAAAGTGAATTCGAATACCGCATTATTGGTTCGAATATTCGAAGCATTCGAATATTTGCACAACCCTAGAAAATTTATTCTCCTGGCAGATCATGCACTTGTGCATATGCCTCGATTGCGTGCGTACGCAGGGTCGTTACCTTGAGAAGCTCTGTCCACAGTAGCTTTAGCTGGCTGAAAAGCTCATTTCTGAGGTTCTGATATGTTCATGTTTTTATTCTGTGGAAACTTTTCCTGGTCGATGTACAGCCGATCTCCTAACTTGGTTTGTGGCATTTGCAGTCGCAAGCTTGAGCACGCAAAAAAGTGTGATGCAGCTATTTTCACCGTGCAAAATAACTTTCACTTATTGTCAATGTTCTCTATAATAGCAGGGCATCACTAGCTGTACTTCACAAGGCAACAAATTACAATGCAGTCAGTTCAGTCGAGAACGAAAGCATTCTGTGCAATCTCATTATGGTATAGCCTCGTGAACTCGTAGTCTGTTGCTATTATGTCATGGCGATGGCACTGTGTCTAACTCTTTTGATGGGGGGCTGTTGGCAATGCGGTTTCAGTTTCATTTTCACGTGTAGGGAATTTATAGACTCAATTTAAAAGGAGAAAGATGTGCATTAGATTTGATTATTTCTGAAGTTGAGAATAAAAATTCACTCGCACCTGCTTCAACTAAGTTATGCTGGTATCGGCAAGAGTAAATTAATCTGCCTTCCTTGGAGAACCGCAAAGTCATGTTGTGAGCTTATTCAGGCTGTCTAGTTTTTTGTGTAAGGCTGAGCGTCACTGCCTGTATTCTTAGTTCTTTGATTATATGATGCCCGGATTATACGACAGTTCTGTGTGATCCCGGAAAGGTCGTGTAATCGGGATTCCACTGGAGTTGTCCGCTCAGGAAGTCTGCACGAATGTGCAGGCAGAGTTTGAAACTATATCAAGAGACATGTGGTGCGTGACGCATCTCCAAGATTGATGTGCACAGTTATACACACTGCCACTGAAGGGGATATACCTATGTGATGAGTTAAGTTTTATGTTACACCAATTTCACATATTTGTTTCAAGCTCTTTGTTTCTCTTGTGTTATTAGCAAGTTGTCAATGCAGCTTATTGCTAAATAGTCTTTTCATATATCCTCTACTTTAAGAAAGTGGATGTGAGGTGTAATTAATGCAATTACTGACTCTGCAAGTGGCAGTTATAGCTCTGAAGTGTCAGAGATAGAGGCAGAGAGAAAGTGAAGAATGTGTTCTGCCTTGTTTTGGGCAGAAGCTTTTTTTATTTGTGCATCTGAACATTAGCAGTCTCATTTTGTGTGCCTTGCAGGAGTGTCTACTCTGATGACGACATTAGAAAAAAAGAACATGACATCCTCCGGGCCCTATGTGCTCAAGATGGCCCTCCGTCCACTGATGATGAAGGTGGTGACGAAGATTTTCAGGATGTGACTGGCGAGGCAAATACTGAAGAAGCTACTCAAGGAGGAGCACAGAACTCTTCACCCAGTGGGCCAGGTGGAGACATTGACGAGGCTCCGAGCAGTTCCTTCGGTCAAATGGGTGCTGAAGATTCTCTAGAGAATTTCCGTGCCTGCTTCGTCAGTCACAGTGATGGCCTCTGCATAGAGAGCCATGCCCCAGCTACCAGTAACGTGGAAGAGCCCTTGGATAGCTTATGCGACAACAGCCAAGTGTACGACGAAAGTCAGGTTTGCGATGACGTGTCTGAGAGCCGGGACGAGTGTTCTCTCAGCATGAACAGCAGCATGGTGCGGAGTGGCACATTTGATCTGCAGAGCCAAATGCCACTCGATATGGCCATTGAAAATTGGAATGGGGATGAGGCTGCAGCTTTAATTGGTGCTCGGGAGTGCGTGGAGCAACAGAGAAATGCAGAGCCAAAAGCTGCAGGCGATCGAAAGGCAGATGCAAAAGTATGTACAGAGCAAGATGGAAAATCCTTGGCTACAATGCCGGCGTTCTTCTTACATGAAAAATCGTCTGCTCCTATGCCAGTCTCATACCAACGTTTTCCCCAGACACCCAAAGTCACCAGTCATTTAGGAGGGGGAAGAGAGGGCTCGGCGGGTGCCTTTGGAATGAATGATTCCGGCTTCCTCTCCCAAAACACATCAGTAACTGAGGCAGTGGCTTACGACAGCCTCAATAACACAGGGGAAACACCCTTACGAAGTGCCATAGAACAAAGTGAAAGTAGGCCTAACCCGGGACACCATTCATCTAGTGCTTTGTTTCCCTTCTACATTGACATGAATAGAGCAAGAGCAGAAGAAAAGCAATCTCAGCAGCAGCGAGAGCCCTCAAACCAGGGTTCCTCTTTATATATGTACATAGATGCCAATGGAGAAGCCAGTGCTGGCCAGGTGCAAAAGAGGTCACCATCAAGCAAGTCCAAGGCAGATAGTGATTCATCAAAGCGGCCGCAGTCCTGCTACATGTACGTAGACTTTAACACAGTTCGTCATGAAGAATCTCAACCTGATGAAAAGTCGTCCTCGCGAACAGTGCCACGAACCCTGTCTCTTTCTATGTTCATTGACATCAATGACGACCAGAGCGACAGCGTCGTCTGTGCTCAAGAAGCGTACAGTAATAACCAGGGAAATCCTGCAAAAAAGGGTGAGAATGCTGTGGAGAGACAGCGAAGCATTGTTGAACACTGCATGTGGGAGCATTTTGAACGCGAAGAGATACTGGTGGTATCGGAGGAGATCCCTACAACTCTGCAGCCTACAAGGCCTGCTGTCGGGGATGACGTGTCTTCTCCTAGGCGGGCCATGACCGATCATATAAAAGTCCAGCCTTCTGAAGTGTGCCTGCTCCCAATGAGCCCTATTCCGCGGCGCAAGACAAAGCCGGAGTCTGTGAAGCCAGCTCCAAGGACTTTACCAGTAAAGTCATCTACACGTCCGCAGGATGTTTACGCCATGACCTTTCGCAGGCCTGAGCCATGTGGTGGAGAGGACAGCGATTCTCTCGAGCACGAGAGTGACAGGGAAGCTGATGTGCCAGAAAAGAAGTCACTACCCGAATCAGAGGAGTTAACAGCAGCAGTAGCAGTGGTTGAAGGAAGTGACAGTGTATCAGGCCCATCAACGTCACTTGTTAAGAAACCAGAAGCAGGCATTCCTTTGATCAAAGCTCAGACGAGTGAAATACAGGAGCCCCCTGCAGCCACTACCAAGGAATCTGTAATCAGGGTATGTACAAATTTTTAATACCGCTGAGCAAGGGTCGGCAGCATGTGGCCTCCCAGTATGCCGTCGACTTGGCCTCCAGCCCTTTCTCTGTCATTTTCTATCTGAAGTTCGACATGGCAGTTTTGATCTAAAATGAATTTTTGCATGTAACCTATGTTTGGTTGCAACTCTGTGACATGCGTGCTGAAAATAAGCATGGTTTTTAATCCCGTTTTGCAAACTTGCATAATTTTACCAAATCTTTGCACTTTGTCCGTAAAGACCCCGCCCTCCTCCACTTTTTCATCCAACTGCTCCACTATGCTGGCTTCACGCAACTTTGCCCTTCTCCTCGAAATGTTGCCAAGCTCTGTACTGTAGGAATATAAAAATTTAAGATTAACGTTAAGTACTTTAACATCGGTAGCAAGTCAAGTTGTTGTGTGACATGACCACAGTCGTTGTGGCCATGTCTTCATCGTTACCTTATTGGAGTGAAAGGCCAAAGCAGAGGGGTGGTGGTGGTGGTGTTCAGCATAGACTAGTGCTTTGTTTGCTGATATTTGCAGTGGCTTCATCGCCGTAGTGTTGCAAGTGACGGACATACAGGGTCTGACAGACTGCTATAATTGTGTACACTGGGCCGGACATCACAGCTGTGGCCAATCCGCTTTGGCCTTTTATCTTTCTAATACGGTGATCACGGCACGAGCATGTTGGCTGCATTCATGTTGTCTCACTGCTTTAAAGTAACTTTTACTGTTGTCCTTTAGCAGCACTGCCTGGCATAAGTTCTTGTTAGAAGAAATAATTGCTTTAGTCACTGTTCTGAAATAATTTCTGTATGTTGGCTGTCAACAGAGCATGCTTCTGTGTAGATTTTACGATTGCCAGCAATCATTTATTACTGCCAGTGAACAGTGTCAATTTTGTTCATTTTGGTTGGTATTGCCAGTTGAGGAATGGCCACTTATGACCATTGATTGCCTGCAGGGAGATTCCTGCCCAACAGGCAATTCCCAGAAGTTGAGCCATAGAACACAAAGATGCTTTTTTTTCTTTTTTACACTTCCAGCCCCCATTTTCGCCTGTAGATGGTGATGACGATTCAGAGACTGTTTACTCAGAGGTGTCTGAAGTCAGTTGCCTGTCAAGCATTGACAAGCGAATGCAAGGGTCTGGCTGCAGCCCCGAGAGACTGGGTGCTTGCTCCAAGCTGGGAGACGACCTGCTCCGGATGTTCATTGGACAGATGGAGACAGACGTCACAATTCGTGTGGAAGGCAAGGACATCGGTGCACATAGGTATAACACACATGAAAGTAATTGGTAGGGAAGAGACGGGGAAAAACTGGCTCATTATGAGGCAAAAGCAAAAATAAGCCAGCAGTCATTATAGCCGAGGACATTCACAGTTATGCCAAATTCGTTGAATGGTGACGCGACTGTGAATGTAATGTGTTTGAATCTCAAGCTTTTCACATCTTCAGAAGAAACTGCTCCTTTCTTGTTGATCATATGAAATGCACCTCGTAATTCTAAGCTGCACGCCTTGGCTATGAGCAAGTGTTACTTATATCAATTGTTTCATATGAGATGACTATGGCCAACAAATGCAGTAAATATATAAAAGGTCTTCTAGTACACTTAGAAAAACTATAGGTAGCACTACTTCTGTTGAAAACTGCACAGTATATTGGTGATAGTTGGAATACAGCGGGGATTGAAGATGGAATGTGCTGAAAACTTTAGCAGTACCTTCAGGAGTTCTGTGCAGCACATGACACACCTAGTGTTGCAACGCCTATATTTGTGACTACAGACACACTAAAGAAAAGCACTAATTCAAATGTAACTAAATGTTCTTTAAGTGGAGACCCTGCTCTAGATATATTTCTTTATTTTCATTTAGGTTTTCAAGAAGCTTCATAACTTCTGTATTTTATTTCCTGATTTTGAATATTTAATTATTCTTCTAGTACATTTTGTAGTTTTCAAGATATCAGACATTGTATGTGCCTTGTTAGGAGCATGTGTTATTTCTAAGATGTCAGAGTGGCAAAGCCAGTCATTATACCACAACAACCTGGAATGAATACTGTAGCCATTAAAGCAAGCATGGATGTTCTAGGCCCATTTTTGCAAAAGTTATAGTGTGTTGGAGTTCTATGAGCAAAATTGCAGCTTGCCATCAACTCATTCGCAAGGGATCAACGTGCCATAACTACTCTTCGAATGGATTTAGGACATACATTCTTGTTTCACTGTATACAGTATTCACTTCAGGTTGTGATATGCTGCTTTGCTTTATATCTATCGCACTTAAGGGGAGATGCTATTGAAGACACTTTTTTTGTAATATTCACTCTAGAGCAATGAAACTTGAGCTGTTTATGTAACTTTTATGCTGATTTCAAATATATAGTTAGTTTTCTTGTAAGTTGCATACTTTTAGCTCTGCAACAAGACAAAGTGAAAACCTTAACCCTTTTGCCCCCCTCATTTTATCCCTGAACTTCGTTGCCGTTATTTTTTACCATTCATAGTTCATAATGTTTGAAACAAAGTGTAGAATACAAATAACTAATTAGGAAGCACATACAAAATATGTAATAGGTGTGAAAAATAATAAACGTGAAAAGTCCATATTTCACCAACCCTAGTAAAGGTTTACATACATTCTTTTTTTTATGCAATAAAATATTGAAATTTAAACTAGATAATTGTATTTTTCATACTTTAGAAAAAATTTGGGCAAAATTTCATGCAGATCTGAGCACTAGAAGTGCCCGAAAAAGGCCGGGCACATTGAAAAAAATGGTAAAATTTGTGTTTTGAGAAAACTGAGCTTTAAAGTTGAAATTAGTTTTTATTTATGAAAGATATGAATAAATCTGATGAGATTTGACAACCAGCAAGAGCAATGCTTCTTGTAGTGGCCACTGCCACTTAAATATGCCAGCACCAAAAGTTTGTCCCTCTCGGCTTTTTCTAGCCGAATCCTCACAGACATTTAGCTCACAGACAGGGCCATGAAACGCTTGCCAAACTTCCGCTCCATGTGGCAGAGCCATGTGCCAACGGCAAGCTCGGAAGAAATTCGACAGAACTGCGAAATCTAAACCAAGTCCAGTATCATGCCATTTTACGGCCATGTTTGTGCCACATACCGTCGTACATAATGGCAATGTCGCCCCTGCTAAGTTCCCTCACTGCGAGCTCTTTCGACATCACAAGATTGGCGCTGACGTCATCCATTGCCGCATTACGAACTTTCCGGTTGATGGGTGTGAATGACTTTTAAAGCATTGGCTTTTGCAAGCCAACAACTGCCGCAAATCGGACCAGCTGCTCGTAGCCTATTCCTACAGAGTGCGCCGCACAACGGCTTTCACTTGCGAGCAATGTTTTTTTTTTTCATTCATAACGGAGATAATTACACGAGAAAAGCAGTGTTCAACTGTGCTGCTCGACAAGCCATGGACCCCGCAAATAGGCTTCACAGCACATACATGCGCGCAGCAACCAATGGCGGTCCCCGATCCGTACCACGTGATAAGCCAGTCGCGGCTCTCGAAAAGTGCGCAAAAGCGTGCTTCTTTTTATTATTTCTTGCGCTGCATCAGCGAGGGAAACTGTTATTTGAAGAGTGAGGCTCGACTCTTCGGCTCATGCGATCAACAATGGCGAGCAGTGGCGCATTATCGGCGGAAAGGTGCTTGAAGACTGCACACTTTGGACTTTTTAACAGGCACCTTGTGCTCTTTAGTTGCAATTTTAAAGCATTTCTAGTTAAGTCTCGACCTGTATTTTTTTTTTTTTTCATAACAGTAGAAGTACTAATCCTATCAAGACAGGCAAAAATAAAAAAGCGGTAATTTAAAAAAAAGACTCTCATTTTTCGACTCGCATCTCCCCTCAAGGGGTAACGCTCCTTGAAAAAACCTATTTCTAGTCATAGACACTTGAAAATATTGTTAAGGTAGTTTTTCATGGAGATTTCAAATACGCAATCATTTTTTGTGTAGATGCTATAGTTATTGAGTTACGCCATGCACAATAGCAAAATGTTACATGTTTTGTGGGTACTCTTTTATATACTTAACTTTCAGTAAAAGCATTGTCTCTGATCTTATTTGACTCGTGGTAGATTGTAAAGTGCAAATATCTATCGAGATATGTCAGAGATATTTGAACCAAAGAAAAAAAACCGTATTGAATGACTTATTATTTTCAATTTCCCTTGAAACAATAACCTTATATTTTCACAACTAATTCTGGTAGGAATTGCAATTTCAAGTAGATATTTGCATTCTGCATGCGTTGAAGAATATGCGTGCCAAGTTTCGTTATTATACAATTAGTGTAAGTGTCTAAAAGGCTGTCTGGAAAATGTTAAATTGTCGAAAAAATGGAAATGAGAAAAACAAGTTTGAAAGTTTGGAAAGTTGGCATTTATTAGGAACCATTTTCTTTGCATCAAATTGGGCCACAATGAAAAGCATCTTGCACTGAATGCTCGGAAGACCGAAAATCGCACAGAATGGTGAAAGTTCGTTATGGCTTGCGCGTATACAGTGCAGTCCACTTATAACGATATCGAGAAAACCTAAAAATATGATCGTTATAACCGGTGATCGTTATATCTGGACTGCCGCCAAAAAAATCGTCGCCGGACGTACCTTTTGTAGCTCCAGGCTTCATTTCACTATTTTCACCAATTAATAAATATTGTAGATAGTAGGATGTCAAAAACAAGACTTTATTTCTTACTCCGAAGAACGCATCACGGGTTCGCTTAGGAAGAGAGACTGACCGACGGCGGGGTGGGAGCAGTGGGAGGAAGAAAGCACAGCCAGAGGTACACAGCCGGAATGCCAACGAGGCCCCGCCCCGATGCCGCCGCGCCGCTTTGCTTTTCGCTTTTTTTATTTTCTCTCTCTTTCTCGCTTTCGTTCGGCAAGCTACGAGTAGCTTGCCGGCTTGCCGTTGTAGAAGGCGGGGAGCCGCGGAGCGGGGCGCTTTGCTTTTCGCAATATTTTTTTATTTCTCTCAGCCTCTCTGCAGTCGACGCGCGGCGAGGCGCAAAACGTGACACAGCTGGCGCCATCTGTAGCGCGTCGCGCCAACTCGCGACGCTCTCCTCGGCTTTTTGAACGGCCGGGACGCGCTGCCGGCGCTGTGCTGCAGTGGCGGCAGGTACTCGCCTACGCTAACTTTTCGTCTTGTCTCGGCATAGTTCGTTTCAGAGGAACTTATCAATCTAAATGTTACGATTATTCTGAATGAAACATGCCGTCCACGGCAAACTTTTCATCGTAGTATCCGATATGCGGTGGATAACATATCGTTATATATGGTTTTTTTCCCCATAGCCCCAATGCATAAAATGAGACTGTTAAGTCGACCCATCGTTATAACCGATATATCGTTATATGTGGTATCGTTATAAGTGGACTGCACTGTAGCGTGTGCTGCCAGAACTGCCTTCAACTTTACAGCAAAAGCTATCACGCGAGCTGCCGCTGTCGAAATGAGCGCTCGTCCCTTGGTCCCTGGCCGAAGTAGTACGTCTCGACGCGTGCGTGAATGAAAGTGTAGATTCAGGGGAATCGGTATTTTTACAGCACAGTTCGAGGAATGCCGAAAGCCCTTTGTGCTTTCCAGCTACTTCGAATGCAGAGTTCCCGTTCGCGGCAGGTTGGGCATTGCGCACCCGCCGCAAGGGCAGTCAGCGCATCGATTTCGCAAAGCAGCGAGTAGACAGTAGCAGCACCTACTGGTCTACATTCACTCTCGAAGAATTCAGTCTTCATTTGGGATGCACTGACGAATTCCACGGCAGCGGCTATTTCACAACCAGAGTTGCCGCAGGGTTCAGTGTCAGTTAGGCCTATCCAAAGTCGGAGCGTTGGTCGGTGGTGACAATGGCGTTCGCTGTCGCTTTAAGAAGATTTGATGCCGTTTCTTTCGATACTTGGGGCAAGTTCTGAACCTTCAATTATCTAGACTGCACTTCTCCGGGCTTGCCATGGCGCAAACTGCAGAGAAACACCGAACAACTGGATTGCGACGTCTGAGGCATCGCTCTTTTGCCGGAAGGATAGGAGGGGGAGGAGGCGGAGCGCACCGCGGACCAATGGCGACCTTGCGCTGCTTGCCGCGATATTCAAAACGCAAAACGTGTGCGTTGTTTTTTTTGCTTTTGGTTCATTCTTCATGAAGATACGAGACTGGCTACTAATGGATTGTGAAGGGGACGATTGCGTCCACGATTGCAAATGTTTTTTTGTTTTTTTGTTTGTAGCATCTAATCCATAGTTCATGCCCACTCTGGGGGATTGGCTTAGACAACATATAGTCTCATATGGACGATAACTGCACTATTGCTTACAACAAAAGAAAAGAAAAAAGTTGTAGAATGAAGTCAGTATATTAAAAAAAGAAGAAAACAAAGATTCAGAGAGTGAGAAAAATCGACAAGAAAATAGACACTAACAACTATACCTTGATTTCGGGAGCCGACCAAACAGCTGGTTTCGCCGAACCCGATTAATTTAGTACGTCACGGATTTATCTACATTTCGAAAATTGCTTTTCGACCCGTAATTTTTTTTTAGTATTTGTTATCGTGGGCTTTATGTTGAAAAATGTTTAGTCTTGAATGAAATTACACATCGCATCAAATGCATCTCTGTGGCAATTTCCCAAAACAGAGGCACCAAAATTTAGAACATTTTCTGTGGTTGAATTTATACCTAGTTTCGCAGATGGAATAGCTAGAAGGCTTTTCCTAATTACTGCTTAGTTTCGACATGAGCCAAAATAATGTTCAATAGTTCCGGATTCTTCGCAGAACGGACAAAGGGGGGAAAGTGTCAGACCAGCTCTGTGTAAATAAAAATTTAATGGGGGAACACGGCAACCGAATTCGAAGATAATTTCAAGTTTTTTTGACGGACTCCACTGGGCTTTCCATTGAAATTTGAGGTGGTGATAATCTGTTCATATTGTGATTTTTTCGAAACTATCTGTAAATATAGCAAATTTTCTATATCTAACTCCTGATAAGTATTCTAACTCGGAAAGTGCCGAAATTACTGGTCCATCAAGTGATGCTCGTGCCAAGGCATCTGCCAATTCATTTAATTGTAATCCCCAGTGACCTGGGACCCACACTAATTTCAGGAGCTTTAAATGCGGCAGTGCTAATGTGTGGAACGCTGCTAGGGCACGAAATTGTTCTGAAGTTGTCAGAGCTGCACACACCGAAAGTGAGTCTGTTAGGATGATTGCACTGGTTTCGGTTGTAGGAATTTTTCGAAGAGCTAAAATAATAGCTACTAGCTCAGCTTCAAATACAGGAGTGAAATCTGGAAGCCTTACTGAAAAAGACCAGCCGATGAAATCGGACAGAATTCCTACGCCTGCCTTTTCATTGTTGACAGAAGCATCTGTAGCTATTACATTCTTCGTTTCTGCATGTACAAAGTAATCTTTTAATGTAGTGGTAAAAAAATTTGAGATTGCAATTGGCGGCCAACGCGTCGTTTTCGCGAGAGGACAACGCAAACTATGCCATTTTTGGCGACTTTCGCGCATTTCTCACGTCACCGCTCCCTCCTACTTGGAAGCATTTTTAAATCATTTCTCATGCGAATTTCAGCTTGATATTTGCAGAAGTAAAGGTTGTAGTCTAAGGATGCCAATGCTGCCGAAAAAAAAAAGCAAAACTTTTCCGGAAAACTGCGACTTTGCGACCCGCATCTCCCCTTAATAAACAAATCGTCTCAACAGTACAAAAGTTTTTCCATATTTTGATTTTGGAGAGGAACAAATTCTGCTAGGACAATAATAGCATGTTTGAAATCAGCACATAAAAATACTTAAGCTGTGAAAGATTTGTAAAAATATACTTTAAAAACAGGGCTGATTCTTCCATATAAGAATCGGTAGGACACAAAAGTTAAACCTGTCTTTACAGAGGTAGTTAAGCATTTATTGTGCATTGTTTTAGCAACAACAAATTGCAAAGTCACGTTAGGAGTGGCAAGCAGCTCAAAACTTGAAGCACACAGCTTAAGCAGAAAGCACGCGCGAAATTATCATACACAGGATGAGCGCGGACTAACAACTGTCTCAATTCTTCCTGCGTCGTGTGTCAGCAGCGCGCTCCTTTAGTAAATGCAGCCGTGGCCGCATGCGAAGTGACTTCATCCTCTCCTGAATTATGAGTCTGATAAGCGTGTGCGCAGGAGAGACCACGCTCCTTAGGACCCTGCAGGGACGGTGTTTCGTGGAGGCGGTGACGTTGAGAGCACGTCAAACACTATACCGTCGTGCCATCTCGCCACTGGTAACGAAAATGCACTAAAGTTTCAAAGCTCTGAGGACTGCCAAATAGTGTATGGTGTATATAAATGGCTTGCCGTTAGCACTCCAGACAATGTACGCTTTGTGGCGTAGTGGTTAGCATTGCGTGTTTAGAATCGAGAAGTTTGTCTTCTGATTTTTTCTTTGCAATTTCTTAGTACATGTCTTTCAACATCGCTCCCGTGACGGAAGTACGTCAGCAGAGCCGTGGTGGATCCCGGCATAAAACGTTTTTGTGTTAAAAGAAACATGTTTTTGAAGCGGGATCTCCCTCTTTGAAACTACCTTTGTGAACTTTGCAGTAATGGATGGGTAATGGGAAGATAAAATTAAGCTTAGTTTCATTTTTCAGCACAAGAACTTGACTGTTAGTGAATGTGATGTTGCAGGTTTCATTCTGTTTTCTTGTTTAGGCTGCTGTGGCTTGCTACGAGTGTTTGAGACGTACCATGTTCACTCTTTGGCTTCTTTAGAATACATTGTAATCTGTCTGTATAAATTAAAATTGAATATTATTCCATCTGTATAGCTTAAAATTAACGATACTTTTTTATGCCATCAAAATATGACATTGTGCTGTCCGGGTGGGCAGTATTGCAACCTTTTTTTCATCTCTTCATACTATTTTATGGCTAAGCTTCTTTTATGATACACAGGCTGTTTATTGGTATTAATAGGGTAATTTCAAACTTCCAATATAGCTCACAATATTTTATTGTTTGTGTGCCCTTAAACAGTTCCAGACATTGACTAAACAATGGAACTCATGTGGCCTTACAGAAAGCTTTCGATAAACTAATGCGGTACTACTATTTGGGTTCAGGGAAAAATGTGGTTGCAGAACTTTAACGGGGAAATTGTGGATGTGCCCCCAGGAGCAAATCCTGTGGTCTGATGTGGACATTGTAGTCAGTAAGCCTTCAATATTTTACAGATTTATTCTGGCATCACGGTCCGACTACTTCTCACTTATCTTCAGGAAGGAATTCGCTGCTGAGGAGAGTGAGACAATTAGCATGGATGGGTAAGGCAGGCCTTTGTGTATTGCTTCATTATAAATTTTCCTGCTCCTCTCTTTTTCACTTCTAAATGTGAGTTTACGTTTGGACAGGTTATAAATATTTCTCACGCTGTTGCTCACTTTTAATTTTTTGAGTCAGCTCAGAGAGTTAATGCTTGAAATTCATGAAAATCTGTGTAAAAACTGTATATGTTTGCAATGTGATGAAAAGACGCTTCAGAGTTTGTTTTCAAAATTCCTTGTCATTTGATTGATTTGATTGACCTACTCTACTATTAATTATTAATTATATCTCCGGAGCACCCATTATTGTTACCATACATGATTAATACAGTAGTTTTTTGCTACATTTATCATGCTTTGAAGCAAAGTAAGTTGTGAAATACTGTGCAGAACTTTTTCAGTACATTAAAAATTGTAGATGTCATAAATTATATGATATTGAATTTACATCTAATGCCGGCATAAATTATGCATTGCCTTTATGGATGTTACTGAGACAGCTGTTTTGTAGTATGTATTTAGCTGTAGGCCACACACACACATGTAACAGCCTAAGCTTTGAGGAAATTTTATCTTTAGGTCAATGCAGATTTCGTTGAATAAATACACGTAAAGTGCAGTAATGTCTTCTTTGAGATAACTGCTGCATTGATTTGAATGAAATCAGTCGTCCTGGAGATGTAACGTTAAGTTATGCCCGCTCTAGGAAGCATAACTTCAACTTGAAGCCTACAATTCGATTCTTACGAATTTCAGTGTTTCAAACATGAAAGCACAAAGCTTACAAATTTATAATTTTGCATTGAAACTAAATACCACGTATGCTGAAATAGGTGCAGTGAAAAACTACATAATTTAATGAATGTAAACCAGAAAAATATATGATATATGAATTTACTGCTTGTGTTACACTATTATGAGGTATACTCACAAGTCTTGTCGGTGAAATCGTCCTATGTTGTGGAGTTCTGCATAATGCATCTTATTTGCCAACATAAAATGTATTATTGGGTTAAAGTTTACAGAGTTGCAATATTGTTTAATGGAGCTTTCCAAGTATAGTAGAGTTTCTTTTCAGTTTTCAAGAATTATTTAGGGTCTCATTTAAATATTGCTTGCTATAGTTGCTAGAACTTATATTGAAATGCAAGAAATGTCGCTGAAATTGCCACTGCAGTAGCCAAGAAAAATTGTTTCTGTTACCATGTAATTCAGGTTGGTTTTTTTGTTTCCACGCAAATCAAGCTCTTAATGTCATTAGCTCTTTTAATGTTGTAAGCATGTCTTCCGCGAGGACCTATGTGCACTGAAGTGTAATAATTTACGAAACATATGCAGCAGTGGCAAGGTGGGCTCTTACATCACAGTTGCCGTGCTACAAATAATTAATTTTTTCAATCCAGCACTGTGTTTTGTTGCTTTTGAATGTGGCAGGTTCACACACGATGCAGTAGTTTTTGCCCTTCACCACCTGTATGGCGGCGCAGCTACTCCTCCACGGGAGGTGCATGTCTCCGAGCTGGCTCTGCTGGCTGAAGTGCTCGGCGTTGACAGCTTGCGACGGGTGGTGGTATCCCATGTGCGCACCTACTACTGCCACTTCTTCCACAAGGTGGGTTGCGTGCCATTTGTATATGCAAAACTGTGCTAGCTGCATACACCTAACAAAGGTCCCGCTACACCTAACAAAGGGAGGTCCCGCCTGCGGTTCTTACCTTGGGACCTCCCAGTGAATCTGTACCCATGCACTTTTCCATGTTCACACTTGATGAATAAAGTATTATTATTATTAATGGATTGCACATCCAGCCATAATTATCTGGTGTACAGTATAAACTTTAATTTACATCCCTCAGAACTGGAAAAAGCATTGAGCTATGAGGCTTTCATACTACTTAAAATCTAGACAAAATCAACTTTGAGGATGTTTTATATGGAGTGACGTATTTGGCTGCTTTGCATAGCTGAATTCCTTCTCAATCTGAAAAGTTCAAGAAACAATGAGATGAAAGCAAGGATGACCCCTCTTTGCCTCCCTAGTTCATTTTGGAGAAGCGTTTTATGCTGTTAAACTTTTATTGTTCTGACACATTATGGGCTCATATTGCTCCTCATTTACTGTAGAATGCAAATGAGTATCAAGAAAGTGTGTATAAGACAATTTAATGGACAAAAAAAATTGTAATGTGAGAATCCTTAGAATCCTCAACTCATACTAATTGCTTACTTTGCGTTTGTAATAACTATTCAGCTGATATCCAGATACCTTGCACTTTTCACATGGTAAAGAATATCTGAGAAAAATTTTATTTCAATTGGGCAATCAAAAGTACTAAAAGCATGATGTCCAAACTCAAGCTGTTGCCCAAAAGTGGATCTTGAGAAAAACACATTTTAAAGGTATAAGTGAAAGCTCATCTATGCATAAAAGATGTTTTAAAGATGATTTCTTTCGTTATAAGGGCTTAACAATTATGCAATTTGAGCATGTGGCTTTAGGAACTCCTCATGTGAAATGCAATGACAAGCAGCCACATGACAATTTCGAGAGGACTCTAGACAATAAGTTCCCTTTAGTTTTTACTGGCTACTTTGTGCTCTTTAACGGGATACTAAGCCAACAATTAACTTCAGAGTGAAAGCTCAATGTATGAAAACATCTAAAACAACAGTATTGTCAACTGCCGTGCTCTATTTACCGAGAAATTAAGGTAAATGCACAAGAATACATGTGCCACAGTAGGACATTTTCAAAATGATCTTGATGATGTCAGAAGAACCGCCTACAATTAGTCAGTAGTAATCGATCTAGCTGCACTAAATTAAGAACCTTCCGTGCATCAAGAGACGCAATAAAATGCTGATTGGTCATTTCTGTTTGATTCTTGGAAAAAAGAACCACCGAACGTTACTATGGGGAATGGCGCAAGTGGTTCGAAAATTCAATTTTTGCATGGCTAAACTGGGCACGTTTTGCCATCTAGCGGGGCCTCAGGTGAACCAATCACACCTGAAATTTTGATGGCCATTGCTAAAAATTGTTTAATGGCCATTGTTGCTGCTGTGGCTCCCGCTACTTCTCTCTGCTGCCACTATACTGTTGGAGACTGCACACAAAAGTTGGGTAACGTTGTGCTCGGCAACTGTAACGTCACACGTTTTGTTGAGGCGGGTAATATGAAGTTCACGTACCCGATGCGGACCCCTAAAACGCGATTTTGTTTCAAAATAAGCCCTTCCATGGCACACAAGTACCACTACGAGGTTTCTGGACCGCTATTTCAACAGTCATCTACTTAACTGTGGCCTTTATTGTCCCTTTAAAAGGGCTTTTAGTTTACTTCGAGTTTAATCACAATCAGTTTTTTTGTCATGAGAGTAGAGAAACTAAACTTGTGAAAGATAAGAATGAAAAATGTGTAATTTTGTAAAAAAACTTGCATTTTTTTACTCTCATTTTTCCTTAAACTCAGTACAGGGAAGTGTGTATCTGTCTTTCAATCCAATGAAGTTATCTTCTTTCAAATCCCGGCTGTGACAGCTGCATTTTCGGTGTAGGCGAAAATGCTGTAGGTCTGTATGCTCAGATTTGGGTGCACGATACAGAACTCCAGGTGGTCGAAATTTCCTGAGCCCTCCACTACGGCGTCTCTCAAATTATATGGTGGTTTTGGAACGTTAAACCCTACATATCAGTCGGTATAGTAATTAGTATCGAATAACTTCAAAGTGAATTCGAATGCTAATAGGCACAACATACAACCTTCACACAAGTGTGAATTGTTGAAACATCTGAAGAAAGGTTTGTTCTTACTTGCAAAGACTAAGGCAGGCTTATCTCAGGAGTTAGTTTCTTTTCAAAGTCCTGTTATTCAGATATGCTTATGCAAAAATGCAATTACCGTTTATTGCTACCACAGCAGCATTCAGAATTTATTTACGGGCTCCTGCAAGCTATTGCAGGAGCCTGTATTTACGTCAGAGGCCTGTATAAAAAATTTCAAGGTGTTTGAAGTTGTGGGAGTGATTCGCATTCACTTGTAGTACAGTCAAACCCTTTATAGAAGACACCAGTATACCTACAGTAAAATACGGGTTGATAAGAAAATGCATACGAGATATCCTGCTTATTAGAGAAATCTTATATAAGAGACCAGAATTGCTATCTGGTGCATGCCTCTTATGAAGGGGTTTAGTAACTGTATGCTGTCATAGTGCTGTGAAGTGAAGCTTTAATATCTGGCTGTGCTGTACAATGCTTTCAATCTACATGTGAGCTACACTTGTCCCACCACTCCTGTCTCTAATTTTTTTGATTTTGTCCTTCTGTTGGAGTTGTGCTAATTCGTGAAAACGTTATGCCATAACAAATAATCCAGATTGCCATGCCACCATATTGAACGAAACCGTTTTTTTTTCTGTAAGTGTACAGACAAGCTGGACAGGTCTTCTTGCGCTTTGGTGATCTTCAGTCTAGTTTGTCTGCATGATATCTGTCCTGATCACGGATGAGTGACACTCACGCTGCAACAATTTGCGAGCTAAACTCAGCTTAGCTAGTGCTACTTCGTAGCATGTCTGCAATCTATATTTTGGTACTGTGTTTCACGTACACACACCTATTCTAAGGGATTGCACGACTTTTTGGAAACTCGAATCCCATGCTGCCAAAGGGAATTGACATTATGGAGTACAACTTAGCTTAATGATGCTGTCTTTATGACAGCCATTTGATACCATGTCCGTATATGTTAGCGAAACAGAGCTAGATACAGTGTTGGGAACGTGACTATAGTTATATTTTAGTTGTACACACGCATTTCTTCCGAGTCTTTTATAGTTGGGAGTGTATGTTACAAGTGATAAAATAAGTTAGGCACTAAAATTGACCCAATAAAAGTTTATCCAATCCAATAAAAGTTTATCTAATCCAAAATTGACCCTAATTCACCCATATAACATGATCTAAAACTTTCTAAAAAGTTTAATTGTGGTGCAGGAAATACGCACATATTACCTTGAAGTGTGGCTTCATGACACTGTGTATTCCTTGAAAAGGGGGTTTCCAATTGAAAAGGTTGCTTTTCAAGTGGAATAACTTATGAAATATTTTTCATAGAGGTGATATAAACAGGAATAAAGAGCCTCAGGCAGGCCTCTCTGAGGAACCTAATTCCTGTTGATATAACCTCAGTAGCACAGATGTTAGAATCCATTGTCTCTCACTTTTAATGAGGAAAGATTTGTTTGTTTGCACCAAAGCTGTCTTTTCATGTGGGTTATACAAGAAAAAAGCACTTTGTTTCGCTGAATATTTCAATTTCAGAAATATTATAGTCATGCCAAATCAAATACTGTAATACGCATAGGAATATTCAAGGTGTTTTAGCATTTGCATTAGCCTCGTTGATTAACCTGTTGTTGGCAAATGTATCGTTCCTATCATGTCTTCCAACAGAGGGCTACCATTAAAGTGTAGCAGTGTCTTTCTTAGCAGTGGCAAGTATATGTGGTTGTGCCATTCAAGGTAGGCACCTGTCACTGGCCAGAGGGCACACCAAAGCTGTTATTTGCCCACTTGGCATCATCAGCATCGCTCGCCAGTGATACCTGAAAGATGTCAATCTGCTCAAGTGTCTCCTGTTTCTGCACCTTTTCAGTGAAGGCTCCCTGGGTGCGGCTATAATCCTCTCTAGGGTGTTAGGACACATTCGTGCTCGCCTCCCCTCTTCCCCAAATGCACCGCTGAGCTAGATTTTGTTGTTTTTACTCAATAAATAGATAGATATGTGGGGTTTAACGTCCCAAACTACTATATGATTATGAGAGACGCCGTAGTGGAGGTCTCTGGAAATTTCGGCCACCTGGGGTTCTTTAACGTGCACCCAAATCTGAGCACACTACAACATTTCTGCCTCCATCGGAAATGCAGCCGCTGCAGCGGGGTTCAATCCTGCGACCTGCGGGTCAGCAGCAGAGTACCTTAGCCACTAGACCATCGCGGCGGGGCCTGTTTTTACTCGCTAGGCTGTGTTCTGGGGCTGCTGTCGGATCTTAATTGCTGGCTGCCTATAAATAACCAGCTGATTTTTCATCCTGAGCTGCTCGTACTAAGTTCTGGCTGCACTATCTAAAGTGTTGGCAGAATTATAAGTCAACCCTTTTTGTTGCATGTCAGGATCTCTCTCTCTCACACATATGCACACACACACAAAATGTGGCCAGTAGTCAAGTCAAACATATGCATTGCAATCTGTTGGTTATTAGCGATTCATAAATTTTCTGCATGGCACTCTTTGGCTATACTTGCTCTAGAAAATACCATCTTGTCATGATATGATCGGAGATTTAAATGTGCTTATGAAGGAGTGGTGAGCAGTCCTACCGCCCCAACTGAATTTATTTCATGCATTTTTTTGCTAGAGTGTATTCTGTTGTATACCGTATATACTCGCATATTCACCGCACTTTGTTTAAAAAAATATTGACACCAACTTCTGGATGCGATCATTACGCGGAATAAATTTTCCGTGTAAAAATATTCTGAGCACCGGAAATGCGAAAAAGTCGCTAATCAGAATTCTTACGGTAGCTATCATGAACATAACCAAA